GAGGGATTTGCCTCATTTCCCGTTTCTAACCGTCTTCAGTCTGTCTGTTGGCGTCGGCATTGTGTCGATTACAAAATCATGAGTGGATACCCTTGTAAGGGTATCAGCTCCGACAACGTGCCCAACTACCTAGGAGTTCACCAGCTTGCCTAGCTGCTTGGTTGCCGATCTGCCGGCCTGCCCGACCTGTCTACCAACGTGGCCTGCCTGCATGTCAGGCTTCTCTAACTCGCTTGCCTGGCTGTCTGACTGTTTGACTGTCGGTTTGTGTGTATCTGTCAGTTTATCTGTTTGTGTGTGTTGCTTCAGTGATTACAGATGAGCTACAAAGAAAGAGAAGAGAATGGGGCGATGAAAAAAAAGGACAAAAAAAAATATTAAGTCACCAAAGAAAAAAAAGAAAACAGATAGCAGTAATCTTCGTCGAAAGTGGAGGATGGACTAAGATTGGAAGGATTGAAGAAAAAACTAAGTTACCAAAGAAAAGAAAAACAAATAGCAGCAATCTTCGTCGAAAGTAAGGGATGAGGAGAGGTCGGGAGGGTTAAAACTCAAAAAGTTACCAAAGAAAAAAAGGAAAACAAATAGCTGTAATCTTCGTCGAAAGTAAGGGATAGGGTGAGGTCAGGGGGATTGAAAAAAAAACTAAGTTACCAAAGAAGAAAAGGAAAATAAATAGCAGTAAACTTCGGGGAAATAGGTGGATGGGGTGAGGGTGGAGGAGGACTAAGTTACCAAAGAAGAAAACGAAAACAAATATCAACAAACTTCAACGAATGGGGGAGATGGAGGAAAGTTATAAGATTAAAAAAAAAAAATACCAAAGAAAAAAAGAAAAACAAATAGCACTAATCTTCGGCAAAAAGGGGGGGCGGGGGGGTTGTTAGAGTGGGAGAGGACCAAAGAAAAAATAAATAAATAAATAACACTAATCTTCAGCAAAAGGGGTATGGGGTGAGAGTAGCGGAGGATCTAAAAAAAACTAAGTTACCAAAGAAAAAAAGGAAAACAAATAGCATTAATCTTCGGTGAAATGTGTATTAGAGGACCTAAAAAAAAAAATTACCAAGGAAAAAAAAAGAAACAAATAGCACTAATCTTTGGCGAAAGGGGAGGGTGACAGTGGGAGAGCACCAAGGAAGAAAGCAATACAAAGTTCACCAATCTTCGGCGAAACGGGTATATGGGGTGAGAGTGGAGGAGAACCTAAAAAAAAAAATCACCAAAGAATAAAAGGAAAACAAATAATACTAATCTTCGGTGAAAGCAGGGTATAGGATGAGAGTGGAGAAGGACCTAAAAAACGTTAACTTACCAAAGAAAAAAAAAAAACAAATAGCAGTAAACTTTGGTGAAAGGGGGGGGGGGGGGAGGAGGAGGAGGTTGTATGGTGAAAAAAAAAAAACTTATCAAAGAAGAAAAAGAAAACAAATAGTATAGTCTTCAATGAAGGGGGGTATAGGATAAGAACGGGGAGGCAAAAAAAAAAAACTAAGGAACCAAAGAAATAACCGAAAAAAAATAGCACTAATCTTCGACGAAAGAGAGGTATGGATGACAGTGGGAGAGGACAAAAAAAAATAAGGAAAACAAATAACATTAATCTTCAACGAAATGAGTATATTGGGTGTGAGTGGAGGAAGATCTAAAAAAAACTAAGTTACCAAAGAAAAAAAGGAAAACAAATAGCACTACGCTTCGATGAAAGCGGGGTATGGGGTGAGAGTGGAAGATGACTAAAGAAGAATGCAAAACAAATTCATTAATCTTCTGCGAAATTGACATATGGGGTGAGAGTGGAGGAGGACCTAAAAAAAAAAAAAGTTACCAAAGAAAAAATAAAACAAATAGCATTAATCTTTGGCGAAAGGGCTGAGGAAGTGATAATGGGAGAGGACCAAAGTTCACTAATGTGCGATGAAACGGGTATATGGCATGAGAGTGAAAGAGGACCTAAAAAAAAAAAGTTACAAAAATAATAATAATAATAATAATATTCACCACAACATTAAAAATAACAAATCTCACATTCGTCAACGAAAAGAGATACCAACAATAGCAGTGCGTAAAGATTAACCATACTTCCTCAACGAAAGGGAACACTCAAAACAACTTTCATTGAGGAACAAGTGTTATTCGTCAAGGAGGGTCAAACAAGATTCGTTGCAAGCTTCAGTGACCCATTCGACGATATTTTCGGTGGTCATTAACTGCGAGTGCTTCCCACCGAGCCACTCCAAGCACCT